ATGCAATAGGAACGACGCGGCATGGTTGGATGAAACGAAAACGCATTGCCACCTTATGTGTCTGTGAAATAGGTGATGTGGGAACGATTTCAAGCTTTTGAGTGATACACAAAGCGTTGATGGAAACGCGTTTCGGGAGTAGATTTCCAAGGACGGAAGTGCTCCATTCGCACATTTCAACCTGCGTCGAGGGCATTGCAAGCCAGCTCGCAGAGAAGCACGTGTTCGGCAACACGGCAGTTGAAGAGGGGCACGAGCATTGAGCGCACTGCGGTGGGGCTCCCTCTTTGTTCAGAATATAGAGAAAAGTTATAGTTGCCGCGTAAGGGGCCATTGTGCCTATGGCCATCTCCGCTCCTGTAGAACGGGTGATACGTGTGATTGAAGCGTCAGGAATATTACTTTGGAACTATTTGACTTGATATCGGCGGACAAATCACGTAAAATAAGCATGTAAAAAAGTTTAAATGGTCTACTCTGCACAGTGAATGAAAATCAGCTGTTGTAGGCGTGTGCCGATGCGGGATTCAACAGGTCCTTAGACAACCAGCTCCAAATTCTAGAAAGAAAACAACAAAAACCAAAAACACAGCCATCATAAGTACTTCTAACATGCATTGCTCATCACCTTTCGCCACTGTTTTGGGTGATTCGGTCCTCGTACCAGGCATCAGGTGCGAGACAAGCGCGGGAGGGAGGGGATGGGGGAGGAGGTACAGGTATCCACGCGTACGCCGCGCACTGTTTACGTCGGTGCCACCACACAGCTTGCTCGGGCGCCGTCACGAGAGCAGTTCGGAAGAGCGCTGATCCCTGTGAACAGGTTCAGTACGGCTGAACTCCTTCGCGGGCTACTTACACATGAGACGCATTGCAGAGGCCTGAGCACGTGTTACCAGCCGGACCTAGGGCGAAGGACCTAGGACCTGCACCTGCACCTATCACGTGAGATGTAATCTGTCAGTTCCATGTTTGTGCCCTTGTATTTATGTCCAAACACCGGCGTTGCGTCACATCTGTGCCGGAAACGCAACTTTTCCAAAATGCCAGCCCACGGTGTTGTGGGCTTTGCTAACCTGACATTAACAACCAAAGCGTGAGTTAAGTATAACCGGTACTTTGTGATGTTATTTCCTTCTTTTAGATTCATGCATAGAATGTGTATCCAATAACACTTTCTATGTTGTCCAGTACACAAACATTTTTGGCTTATACTAATAGGTGGGTTGAGACAACAGTCAGTTATGAAAACACATTGTCTACGAAATGTTTACAGGACTCGATTTCATTTTAGACGATGCGATGCTAGTTAAAACTACAAATGAAAAGGATCTGGATAGAATCCGAACCTGAGCCCCCCCCCCCCCCCCCCGAGGGTGCGACACAAGGACTACTCCTGTGCCTGGTGTCAGCAAACCATGGGCTAGATCCTCCAAAATTGACTGCGTCGACTTATGGTCTTGCATTGACAAGTAGGGGCATACGCTATGCTTTCAAGTCGTGCGCAGTCTCCTTAGTTCATTGCTCAATTCTGTTCAGTTCGGTTCAGTCCATTTCCCTCCTCACCGTACAGGAGCACAAATAAGATGCAATTCTAGAAAAGAGCAGACATCTTGACAGCTTTACGGAAGGTCTGAAACGAGGTATTCATATCACGGGTGATAGAATCGTTCGGCCTGTCGTCGCCATCTGGTTATGCCAGTATGCGCGCAGTGTTTCTGCCAGTCAAACTTCCGGTCGTCGCCGGGCACTGTGAAGACCTGAGAAGAACTGCATGATATCTGGCTATCAGCCATTCATGCGTCACCATTAAAGGGTACCGATAGTCCAGTCTGGGACTTGTACGGATAGTCCAGTCTGGGACTTGTACGGATAGTCCAGTCTGGGACTTGCACGGGTAGAGGCAACCATCTTTGGAATTTTGAGGGCAGCCGATGTTGTTCGGTCGTGTCACAAATTGGCATGCATCTCAACTTATTTGATGCTGCTCAGTTTCAAAATCATTTGACTCTGGAATATGTACAGGATGTTGATATAGCACACTGGGAAATACCATTATCTTAAACATGAGACAGAAGCCATTATCGTGAGCACTGCCACACCTTCTTGAGATCGTGGGACTTATTTAATTGAGATGAGAATGTGAACACCAGCTTTCCCAATAATCGCAGTTTGCACCAGTTTTGGATCCCAGCTTCACAGGCGCCGCTTTTGTGACAGAAGACAAGCTTTGTCCAGTTAGACATTTTGAACAATCTTACTTTTTAAGACAATTTTTCGACGGGTCCATCCTTGTACCTTGGATGGGACTGAATGGATGGTAAAAACTTCAAGGAATCGGCACCTCTGGTCACAGCTCGATTTCTCTCCTTCGAATAACTGGGATTTGAATCAACGTCTTCTTGCGAGTCCGGTGCTCTGCCAACTGAGGTAACCGAGAAGGACGTCCCGGCCAAGGACAACCTAATTCAAATCCCAGCGATTCCAAGGAGAAAATTCGGGTTGTGACGCATGCATAGCTGACAGCCAAATATCATCGAACCCTTCCCAAGACTCCATAACACTTGACGGCCGGTGATTTTTGGTGACGACTAATCAATGTTTGAACACATCACGTAGGAAAACTTCATAAAAGCAGACTTTTGACAAGCACAAAAGCCGAGCGGAGCGTGTTCAAAACGTGTTTGATAACTGCAGCTTTCGGAGCTATATGGAAAGGTTGACTGATGTCATGTGTGAAACCGGCATTCTTGACGCACACCTGTGTACGGATGACAGATCATGATCGGCATATCGGGACCGGAAGACATGATGAGCAGAGCAATGCTTGAATACTCTATCAGACAAATACGCTGGGAAATAAACAGCAATCACGATAATGGTAAGAGGTATCTCCGTAGGGGCCCTGTTATCGCAGTCGTAAATTACATGTTCTCGTATGCATGGAAACGCGCAGGTATGACAACCTGCATTCTCACTATGAGAATGTCGAAAACGGCTGCGAATTTGATACACCAATAACTGCTGATTTCATTAATCAGTGGGTTAGGTCAAGGCCAAAAAAGTTACGCTATGTTCCGGTCTGATAGTAATTTTTTACTGATGATAATTGTGGGGCATGTCTGTATAAAAAAAGATAATTTAAGTTCACCTCGGCCTCATAATAACAGTCAAACGCAGTATGCCGCTGTGTTTAGTAAAAACGGACACACCTGACTGCTGCTCAACGAGTTCAGACAAAACTTTGATCATTTCGATAGTTTTCTGGAACCGTTTTGTGGTTTGTTTGCATACAATTTCTCATTTCTGCAGCCTAGTTTACTGGTGTCACGTCTGTCATGGATTTTCAGCCCCTTCGGGCCTTTGCTAAAAAAATCAAAATATTAATTCCTACGTTTTTTTGGTAGTGTATTTGTATTTTTGGAAGCTTCTTAGACTTAACTACTAAGAAACGCATGACTTTGATTAGATTAAACAGTGGTAATAGCCTTATTCCTCGGAGAAAAGCAGCAAATGGAGAAATCAATTGGTAATGATTTCTAAAAGATATGTAAAGTAGATAAACTATTATAAGATCAATAAACTTACATAATTTCCATCGCTCAAATTGTAAGCGCACAGAAGCCCACCAAGTACGGCCCGTGAGTGTAAAACCCCACCTTCGCTTAGCCGGTGGGCCCCAGCCAATTAACGCTCTCGTGATGGTGCGGATGGGGTAGGTCCCGAGTTTGGCTTGCAAGGGCCTTCCGCACGATTCTCGGTGCCTTTGACGCAGAATGATTTTGCACCATGTGGTGCCTTTTAACTCACCGGTTTTGAGCCGCTCCAAAATCAGAATGTCATGGTCATTGAAAAACTGCCTTTTCTTTGCACACCAAGATTCAGGGGCATCCTAGGCAAAAGGGGCATCCTAGCACATGGCGGGGGGGGGGGGGGGGCTCCTAGGCATGACTTTTCCAATGTCCTCCCTGGTTTGGGCGGGAAGAGGACAAAGGAACCCCCACAGCAACCTGTTTGTACTTCTCCGAACTGTGCCCAGCGTTCTTTCCTACTTTGGAGAGATTGAAGCTCGCCTTCCTTCCAGTGATTTTGATGTTCAGCGAGTCAAAGGTGTTAATTTCAGGCGTTAATGAGCACAACGTGGGTACATTACGATGCCCAATGTTAGAGTAACTTTATCTCCTCACGTTTTATATGCTACCTTGTTTTGCGGACATATTTTAGTAAATAGGGCTAAAAAATCATGACATGCAATAAAATTTCTGTCAAATGTGATAATTTCTATTTGCTGCTGAACAATCAGACTTTTGATAACGAAGGAAAAATACTGATTTGAAATCAGTTTCATGATGATTCGTTGACTCTGTCTGTAGACAACTTAGAGAATACGTTGCTTTCTACATAGGGACCCGGATGCTTCGGCTGCCTGCTCCAAACCGAACTTGGCTCTTGAAGAGGAATGAGCCCATTTGTATGATGGCTCTAATCCGTATTTTGACTTTTTCTAACTGACTCTTTGCCCTTCTGAGTTATTACCGTTTGAGTCTTATCCATCTGGCTTTTATCCCTCTTAACTTTTGTCATTTGACGCTTTCATGTTTGACTTTTGTTCCCTGAATTCTTTGCTTTTGACTTGTGTCCAGTTACTGTTCAGGACACGAGCCAAATGCACAACATTCTCAGGATCTTCAGGTCTGCCTGGACGCAGCTGACGGAACCATTCGACCAGGCTGCCCCGCACCGGCATAATTACATATTCTGCCCGTCGCCCCGCTCAATACGGGGCTTTTGGCTTCCGCGCCGCTAATCCTTGACCCAGCCGGCCAATCAGAGGCGCGGCCCCTGGCGTCTCAGCCAATTGGCGCCACCGGCCGCCGCTCGGACCACGCCCCGGTCACGGGATTTGCTGAAAGGCGGCGGGCGGCTGCGCCAATCAAAGGACAAAAGTCGCGGCCCGGTCGGCTGGTGTGGCGAGCGGCGGCGACGGCGGCCAGCGCGCGGGCTCGACGGCACCGACGAGCCCGGTGGGGCGGCCAGCGCGCGGGCTCGACGGTACCGACGAGGCAGGTGGGTGCCGTACCGACGCGCCGAGGCGAGCCACGCGTCGCCAGACGGTCAACCGGGGCTGCCGGCGGTCTTACGTTGCCCCATCGGGGTGGAAGGCTGTCCCTCCCTGCAGTTGTTGGCGTGATGCAACACGGACGGTATGGCCAGGGCACTTCCATCATGTTTGGACGTCAATTAAGAAGGTCATGGTGGTGACTCCATGGCGATCGTGCTATGTGACGTTTGGTAGCAGATGGTTGACTCAGTTAAAAAAGTAGCTGTGCTTGGTAAACCGCAAAGCGTCCAGGACACTGAACCCCACTGAATTTGTCAATTTGTTACGGTTGATGGCAACAAGTGCTTCGTTTCTAACGTTTGGCTATCAACCCCATGACAGCGAAGACAAACAACGTGAGCCACAAATGAAAAGCTGCCGTGCATGCACACTGTTCGTGTCTGTCTTCTTGTCACTAGTTGTCTTTTACATTAAAAAAGTGAATATCTGACGTTCAAAATGATGAAATCCCAAGCGTTGCATGTGAAAGATCATGTTGAGCTTCGTGGTTTATGGCGACTTCAGAATGTAACGGTATAATTGATCAAGCACTTGCTCACACATACTGCTTCATCTCTTCATTTTAAACAGATAAGTGTTGGGCACAGTTGGCTAGTGCTATCCTGGTTCAAGGCAGACTTCGGTGGGACTGACCTCAACCGGCCCCTACCCAAGAGGTGTCACCAACTGGGGAGTGGTCGTCCGCCGCGAGACTGACGCTTGACCGATCAGCGCCCGCGGTGGCGTAATCACGGGCGTGGTCTGCCTTGCAGTAGACCCTTCGGTTTGGTGACATTTTCCGGGAGTGCGGCCTCGCTTCATGTCAACGGGGCAGTCCTGTGATTTACTGGTCACCGGGGCAGTCCTGTGATTTACTGGTCACCGGGGCAGTCCTGTGATTTACTGGCCACCGGGGCAGTCCTGTGATTTACTGGCCACCGGGGCATTCCTGTGATTTACTGGCCACCGGGGCAGTCCCTGTGATTTACTGGTCACCGGGGGCAGTCCTGTGATTTTACTGGGCACCGGGGCAGTCCTGCGATTTACTGGTCACCGGGACAGTCCTTGTGATTTACTGGTAACCGGGGCAGGTCCTGTGATTTACTGGTCCCGGGGCATTCCTGTATTTACTGGTCACCGGGGCATTCCTGTGATTTACTGGCCACCGGGGCGGTCCTGTGAATTACTGGTCACCGGGGCGGTCCTGTGAATTACTGGTCACCGGGGCAGTCCTGTGAATTACTGAGCCTGAGGAAGTGCCACCAGACGAGCCTGACAGCAGTCGCGCTGTAAGGCAGAGGCTAAGGCGAGTGCTTGGGATGTTCCAATATACATCAGCCCTGCAAGAATGCCGAACAAATGCAAATGAAGGCTCTGCCGTGTGCAAAATGTACGCATGTGATAACGACGTGAATCGGCATTTAACTAGAAAGACCTCGGCGCACAGCAAATTCTTAAAGTTTTCCCTTCATCTGACAAATGTGATTTAACCAACGGCCTAACATTGATGACGGGCAGGGAGCGTCCTCCGAAATGTTTCTCAATCTGACGCCTGAGTGTTGTCATCGCTTTCGCGTGCAGTTTTGATCACGTCCTTACCTTCTCCGGCTGCTGCGACCTGATGCCAGCCCTTGCAGATGTCACAAGTCCAGCGGATCCACAAGCGGTGCTCGAGCGCCCTTGATCGGTGGCACACATCGGTCCATGTGCTCACCACCGCGTTCATTCGCTATCTCCTTCGCCAGACGGCGTTGATCCGTGTGTTGGGATCCCGAGGTGCTGAACTCTGGACTCATCCATCTGTGATCTTCGTTTTTCCGCAATTTTCATGTTCAACCTTTCCATGGCAATTCTCCTAACCTTAACATTCTCGTTTTGTCTTAGCTGCTGACAGAGCGGCTGGTGAAAGGATCACCTAGTTCGGAAGAAGATTCTAGAGTTTAAGTAGTCGGAGTATTTTGAATAAAGAAAAATGAATTGCATGATATGAACGTCGCATAAAAATGCTGCTTGCAACCTGGTTGCAACCATAAAATCGCTGGTTTTTGCACATTGTTGGTTGGTGACGTCTCGAGCGCGACGTCATTCGCCCCTGGAGGAGTTAAAAGCGTGAACGCTTGTACGTGTGCTCTAGTAACTCTAGCTCCCTCTAGCCCTAGTTTTTAAGGCATGCAGTACCCTCTCCCAGCATCTGATTTAAATCCGAATCAGTCTGCACTGGAAAATAAGTAGGCGGCTTATGTCACAGCAAGAACATTTCGCCAAATGTTGTAGGTCAAATGTCATGCCGAATTGTTCGGGGGCAATTAGAACGGTACTTTTGGATCTCTGAATACCGCCATGTTGTAGATGGCACAAATTTTTGATGAACATACGTCACAAGCCTGTCAATTGTGTGGATTGCCACGAGGTAGCTGAGATGTTGGAATGGAAAGGGTTTGAAGAGCTCATGTTAGTACTGGATACGACGACAGTATGTTTTCAATGAGGCTGATTTTTGGAAGTCGTACAATCCGTGGCATCAGACCAAAAACACACAGAAGAGCTCTTACGAACTGATTTTTTGGACCTGGTCTATATAAGCTGACTGCTATAGAATCCACCACCAATGTGCTTCCCAAAATTTCTATAAAGCTCGCTTTGATCCGGTACGGCGCAGCAAAAAAATTGGTAACATGAATCCGTGACTCTCTGCTGCAGTGTCCCGACCTTTGAAACATCAATGCGAGGCATGTGGTTTATGACTTCATTCAGTTTTTCGCATTCGTTATTTTTTATTGGAAAAAGCGACCCAGTCAACGTACAGCAATGGGTAATAGCGAACATGGTAATCTGGCTTGTTACCTATCGGGAGTAGTATTTTGCATTAAATTCAGTCACAAACAAGATTCATGACATTGTTATTCATGTCCTAATTACCGTGACGCCAATTTTCCACAAATCATCACATAGCACGGCAAAAAATTCGCTCCTGGCTGATATTACGTAACGGCGTGGGAACATCGGCTGTCATTTCAAGACGCTCAGTCAGGTGCAACGTACCTACATTTGACTTAAACTAGCCTCAGCAGCACTGTTATCAGCTGCGACATGATTCGTAACACCAAACGACGCTTAGCTTATGCACGCAGCAGATTAAAGGCTCCGAAAAACGCCCATTTAGTGCGCCTTCTGATCGGCTAATGCGGGTACCTCCCTCAGCTCTGCTATGGGATGTTCATACCAGGCTAATTCCAAGAAACAAAATTTGAAAGAGTGGAGCAATTGCACCATGTTTTAACTTCACTGTTTGAATGTCAGATGCAGTCAGACCCATTTTTTACCCGCGACTGAATAAAAATTGATTTTTTTTTGGATTTTATTGGATTTTAGCTGCACTGTGCCAAGTAACATCAATTGACATGCATACCATACAAAACTAGTTCTTACTGAACTGTTATGCTGCGTGAGGTGTGCTCAGTTGTCTCCACTGCGTTGTGCTCAGTACGCTCAAATCTACCACAAATGCTTAATCATGGACCACAGCGTTTTAGTGGGCGAGGTACGGTAGTCCTACGTAACTTGCCGTGCGCTGTGAGCGTCCATCCAGGGCTAATGCAGCGTGTTGGAAGGCTCCCATCTTATTTCTAAAATGGAGCACGTCAGTTACATGGCGCCTTTCACTTGGACCCCTTTGCTAGCTGCTCCTAGATGGCCGCTCGAACGAGGGGCGAAAAGAACGCTAACTTTGATGACAAATTATCGTACCAAACTTGCTGCTTGAACCTGCGTGATGTTGTCCTGCCGACGATGAGCCACCGTCGGCAGCGGTGCCCGACACCTCGGCAAATGCTGCGGCGGTGCGGTATTTAGGGATAACGGCCATGTTACGACACTTAAAATTGATCTCGAAAACGGCGCAACAACTGTGTGAAACCGGTACCGGCGTCGTGGCCCTGGCAGCATGAACAAATAATGAATAATTTTGCCATATAAGGTGAAAGCGTTCCCGTGTCGAGAACGCCATGATCTTAATGATAATGCTAAAAAACGAAAAGCAACATACATGGCGAGATTAAATGATATGGGGCACATTTCATGTGGGTCTGTTTACAAGTCTAAATATGAACAATAAATGTAGTAAGTGCAGGTTGCACTCTTCTGGATGGTCCCGTCACAGTCGCAGAACAAACGCCGTGAACTTCCTACTTCTAACGACATCGTAATGACCACTGGACGTCAAACTGGTCAAAACAAGTTCTCCTAAAATGCTGTATACTTCGTACAATTTCTTATTCTTCGTAAATTCATGAAGTGGATAGCACAATTCATTGAGGCAACTGAAAACCTGCTTTGACAGTGAGTTTTGTCGACAACTGGGCCCTTTGACGACTTCCCCTGCCGCCCGCAGCACCGGTGAGGCCTGTGGTCGACTCAGTTCGAGCGGATCAGTTCGCTGCTGCCACCCTGCGCCACCTGCGCCACCTGACCCCCGCGGGGCCACCAGACCCTCTCAGCAGCCCCGCTCGTAAACGGCCACCCCCGGTCAAGCTGCGGCACGCGCCGTCACGTGGCCCTCATCGCCACGCGACGTCAGCCGATAAAGAATTCATGCCGTAATCACGGCCGGTAATTTATGGGCGGGGCCGGCTGTCGTAAAGCGGTGGCAGTCGGTCGCGCGTAATGAGCCAGTCGTCGTTTGTCATTAGTGGACGACCTATGGCCGGCGACGGCGTAACAGCCCCTCTACAGCGCCCCTTCGCCCCTCCGCTGGAGGGCGCCGCTGTCGTAACGATGTGTCTCTATCCTGACGGCCGCTCCGGGGTCGTCTCTCTCTGTGGCTCTGTTTCGGCGGCAGCCAAGAGAGCTGTTATCACCGTTAGGGTATCTGGCCCCGACTCCAGACACGTCGGGTCACTGAGCCGTGAAAATATTTCGATGATGAAAAATTCCGGTGAGCCGAGGGCGAAAAGCCAATTTCATGACT